TGATAGACGAAATGTAGATCCCTAGTGACTGAGTCGATAAATCGTTGAAATGTCTGGGCTGCGTTGCGAAGACCGAAGGGTATACGCAAAAACTCGAAGTGCCCAAACGGCGTGATTACGGCAGTCCTCGGTATATCTTCCTCGGCGACTGGAATCTGGTGATAAGCGCGAACCAGATCGATTTTCGAAAACACACGGTGCCGCGCAGGCTAACCGTGATGTCCTGAATGTGAGGAATAGGATAGCGGTCGGGAACAGTAACGTTATTGAGCGCGCGACAATCACCACAGGGACGCCAGTTTCCTGACCTTTTGTGCACCATGTGGGGCGGCGATGCTCACGGGGTTTTGAATGGGCGAACGATGCCTAGTTCAAGCATGTGCTCGAATTCTGCGCGAGCAATTTTTAGCTTATCAGGGGTCATTCGCCTGGCTTTGGCAAAAACAAACGGACCTTTGGTAACGATGTTATGTTTTACGGCGTCAGTGGCAGATGACAATGGTGCCAATGCACGGGAGACTTGCGGGAACTTGGTATTAAGCATCTGACCGATAAGTGAGCTCGATTGGTTGGCGTATACAGGACTGATTGACTCAATGTCGACCAAAGTACCTATATCTGCTAGATTTCTTTGACGATCAACCAGACAGCGTTGCTTCGCGTCAATAAGCAAATCGAAGTGCTGCAGAAAGTCAAGGGCAAGATTTGACCTCTGGACATCTTCGACGAGTAAGATCCATTTAAACGAACGTCGCGGGTTTAAATTAAGCGTGCGCGAGCGTTGACAATACACGCGAATGGTGGTGGCGTTTGCTGCGCGCAATGAACTAGTCACCTCTTCAATAACATCATTGGAATCACTGACTTCTGCGCCGGTGTCAACAAGATAGCGTACTCCCGTACTGCGATCGTTGACGAAGAAAAGGCGACAGGGCAGCTAGCAACATCTGTCGCGCCTACGTGATCGCCAGCCCGTTTCCCTGCGTGTTGCGCTTGAAGGAACAGTGCGGGCGACACGATCTGGCCTGATGACCAAATCGCTCGTGGTACCAACAATAGGTTGGCCTAAGGGATCTCGAACGTGATCTAGGACGAGTGCGACTACTGGAACGATTTCGGCGGTTGGATCCGGACTGTGATAGGTTCTCTAATCGATTGGTAAGTGCCGCTACTTGCGCTCTTAGTTCTGCTACCTCCGTACTGAACCTGAGAAATCTGGGCGTTGGATTCCCAAATACGGTCGATAATGTCGGCGAGCTGAGAAAGAGTCGCATCATTTGGATACAAGGTGTTACGTATGTCACGTAGCAGTCAACGAAGCCACAGCTCTTTAAGGAATGAGTCCCCAACAGAGAGAGACTTAGCTAGAGCCTGCATCCTGTGCAAGATCTAGGAAGGTTCTCGGTCTCGTTAAGAACCTGCGTAACGCGAGCATGGTCTGATATACCGAATCGCTTTAAGACGACAGTCTTAAGCTCGTCATAAGTCTTCTGATATTCAGGAAGTTCCAAGATATCGTTGAGGTCATCGACGATTTGCGGAGAAAGCGCTATGACAGCGCAGTGAAATTTGGCATTATCATACCTAGTCAAAAGTCAATGTTAGCGAACATATGTTCTCGATAATTCTTCATCAGACTAGTACAATTATATATCATGTACATCGATTAGACAGACTACTAAGTCGTTAAAAGAGGGGAAAATCATTTTACAAGTGATGAACTATCGCCAATAATCAGGTCAATGTCGGAGTCTTCACACGATCCAACTGAGTAAAAATCATTACTCGATCGGGCCAGGGCAGTTGTAAGGCTTGAACAAATCGCTTTTGAGTGCACAACTTTGGTTCGTACAACCGGATTGCTATAGCTTCAGCGGCTTCTAGTATCCGTCTGCGGATATACTTCGATCGCTTCTCCGGGGCCTTGTAGATAATTTGGTATGCTTCGGCTGGCCTAGGGTTGTGGCCCGTGTCGGCAAGGTGGGCAGCTATGGCTGAGTTACATACCCACGCCACGTACCGAAAAAAATGGATTCTAGCTGAGTAAACCAGGACTTAAGATTAGTCTCTCGGAAAGGCGGGATAGGGAGACTGAACACACTAAGCTGATCGTCTGAATCTGGGTGAATGACCTTCATGGTGAAAAATACAGAGCTAGTGAAAGCGAACCCAAATAGTATAAAGTAAAATTACAAACGTAGACGGAATAAGTTACCGGATCTGAAAAGAAATACTAGTAACAAACTGACGAAAAAAATATTTTTTTCGAGGTCACCAATTGTAGCGCGTCGATCGTACGCAATATATCCGGTAGGAGACTAAACGGCCAATCGTGAGCGTACGGAAGAACACACGAAAATAAGCTAGGGAAGAGGTTTATTGAACATGAGAAGAGCTAGCTAAGGCTAAAAATAGGGCACCAGGGGAGAGCTAGCTAGGGTGGATGTAGTTGGGCGTTGAGTGCGTGGACGGGGCGTCATTTGCAGTGGAGTCGCCCGCTCCAAAGGCGGATATCGTGTGTTTCAAACTAATGGGGACCAAGTTCCGACAAGCAAACCGCTTAATTCCCTAATACATAAGAGAACTATAATTTTAGAATAATTTACACTGTCATACGAGGAATCTCCAGGTTACTACAGTACCTCGGGCACACGACCAGGCATTTGTCTAAGAGGATAGCGGAACACTGTCCTGCCTCTCTACAACATGGCACGGTTAAGAATGTCCACAGCGCTATCCTCGAGCATCTGATTACTACTGGGCATCAGATTCGGACAGAAGACGGATTCAAGGTGGTCTACACTGTGTCGAGACGCGTTCCCAAAGGACTCAGGAAACGCCTGCTGGCCACTGCCGAAGCAATGGCGATTAGGCTATTACAACCTGAGTTATGCAAGCAAAGGACGCTAATACAAGCTCTCAGTTTGCCCTGGCCGTGACCAAGATTCTGTCCGTATCTGACAGAACCCCCGGCCCAACTGTGAGTTTTGTTCCTCATCAGCCACTGCGTTCTTGCTTTCGCTGTTTGTCTATTTGTATGCGCGAGACGCGGTGTCGTAACTTCTACCACCTGACTTCATTGACATAACTATCGATTGGCTTCACTGACCCTATTTAAATTGCCATCTAACCACTATCACTCGAGCTCTAGTTAGCTTCCCCGTTTGCTTAATCTTCTTCATAAATGTAAATGCCTGACGAGAATTATCGAAAAGAGATATCTCTTCGCAAGTCTCCTTTTTATATTTAAATGGGCATAATATCCGAGTTAAACAAACGAATTTAATTGCACTATTCACGAACATGGATCGAAAATGGTAATGAAAAAGCATTCGCGGGGCCTCAGAACCTGGTACCGGATTTTACCACAGTTTTCACTTCTGACCATTTTATCCATTGTCTTTTTGGTTGACTTATGTTCTGTCTTTCTCTTCATCGTTTCTTCCCCTTTTCATGTGAATCAATTCAACCGTATCCACTACATTCCAATGTTCGGATTGTGATTAGTGAAACATATTAGATTTATTTGTATGAATTACCACTATTGGTTGTGTGGAGTGTTAATAGACTTCACGGACTCCAAGACTGGGTTGCGCTGCGTCACATGAAGAACGTGAACATTGTAACTTTTAACTTAATAGCAGTTATTTGTTACGGCGCTGCTATCCTGTACCCGAGTTTCGGTGGTACCGAAGCATCCGCTTCAATGATGTGCAGCTACCAAGTACGATATGTTAGCCCACCCCGATGAAATGATCATTGTGATGTGGTCCGTTGCAAGATGTTTCGTTTGTAACACGAGTGACAATATCAGGAACAGTATTTTTCCTAGGCCACCTTATGAAAGATTTGCAGGGAACGGGAATATACTAGCGAACGACACTTGCAACGCAGGTCTGCGGTCGGACAATTACTGATGGCCGCTCATCCGGAAGACGGCTTTGCTCGAGAATGTCTAGCTGTAGTCCATGACGCAGGTTCTAAATCCGCAATTCAACTAATGGCATATTCACTTCAGAGAGTGCGACAAGAAATTCAGTTAGCGCTGGTGCCTAATGCGTGGTGCGGGAATATAGGTGCAGACGGTGTGACTCCAGTGACATTGCGGTTGCTGTCACTTAAATTGGGAATTATAGAAGAAAGGCTACTAATGATGAGTGGGAGGGGAGTAAGAGAAACTGTTGTATATTAAAGGAGGCATCAGCAGCAGCATGTTTACTCTTGTCCGCCCTGCTATATGCATCAGATAAGATAATCTGCGCGACGGCCGACACAGGATATGCTATTAAGGGCGACCAAATCTAGGCAAGAGAACGATTAAAGTCCTCAACCAAAGACTTTGGCTCAATAGCCTGTCCGCAAGGTAGCCGGTGTGTCAAAAATTCGGTTTTACATAAAGGGATGTCATCCCATTTCAACCCCCCAACCTGGAGACTGAGTTCGTCTGACCTCTAACCACTGACCTACGTGGTAGGAGTAGCTCTTAAGGGACCACACCCAGTATAGCTCAATAAGTCGACTAGGTACGCTAACAGTCACAGCACGTCCAGGTCCATTTTCGTCGCCCGTACCTGCGCAGATTCGAACCTGTGACCTCCAGGTTACGAGTTAAAGGCGTAATCCTTCTGGACACCTTCCGACATTGGTTGAAATCGTTGGTCCCGGTAATCAAAAACATCTCCGACAGCGCTTTAAGGACGCTTGCTGCAGCTTTTCAGCAATTATTCCCCTACTCCTATATGGACAGCAGTAAGGCTTTCGTGCTAAATTTTCATGTGTCAACAAATATGCTTTTGCGAATGAGGTAAGTCATCAAAATACACAAGATAGCGCGCTTCCAGTATACATGCATTACTTATACTTCGGTACAGTGCTGAATTGTTCGTTTGTTTTTATTGTTTCGTCATTTATAGACTTGTCCTCTTTTCGTATTTTTGCTCATTCACATAATTTCCTTGCACTTGATGTATACTCTCCTGATCATTTTCCCGTCCCAATAGAGATGGATGATGGACGTCGGAAACTGTTGCGCTCAATGCGCGTGTATCTGATCAATAATTTGACACGTTTGGAAGAAGTGCTTGACATATTGGAGGCAGATCACATCATTTCCGAAGACCAGCGCCGTCGGATTCTTTGTTCATCAATTCCCAAGGATCAAGTTCGAAACTTCCTAGATATTATAGTCCGCTGCGGACCTCGTGCTTTCAACAGTTTCCAGTGCGCCTTGGAAGAAACCAAACAAGAAAGCATTCTGGACGCAATTAGGACCGAGTCCTTCAAATTGGTTCCAGAATCCGTCTCGCCCTCCGTTTCTGCACATGTGTCGTCATCCAGTAACAATCAGGGTATTACGAGTACAACGCCTGAAATAGCAGCTTTTCCAACCCTCCAGCCTTTCGAGCCATATACTGTTACATCTGTACCACATGGATATATCCTGATTATCAACGTTGAAAACTACACAATCGCAGCAGGTGTTTCGAATCGCCTCGGATCTGGAGAGGATGTAAAGAAATTACGTGGTCTTTTCGAGGAATTTTGTTATGGCGTCATTGTATTGCAAGATCCGTCTGGCCGCCAGGTTGAAGATGCTGTGAGGACTTTCGCGCAGAAGCCTGAACATATGACCGCAGATGCTGGGGGTCTGGTCGTACTCGCTCATGGTATGGAGCACCATATTATAGCGAGTGATGCGTCTCTAGTGAAAATTGATGATTTAGCATCGTGTTTCACCAACACAAGTTGTCCCGGACTGCGCGGAAAACCGAAATTGTTGATCTTCCAAGCATGCCGCGGTGTAAACATCGACCATGGCATCCATTTAACTCCCACCAACCAAGCTATTGGTTTGACCACAGTGGTGGACCATTCGCTGGATCCGGCTTCCTGGCTAGCTTTACCTCACATGAGTGATTGTGTGATAGTCTATTCCACTCTACCAGGATTTGTATCTTGGCGATCGGAGACAGGTGGGAGTTTGTACATATCTACATTTGTGGACGTTTTTCGTCTACATGGTCACCGCTGTCACGTTATGGACTTGCTGGCTGAAGTGAATAACCGATTAGTCCAGGAAGCACCCGAACTGAATTTGCATCAAATCTCCCAGCCTGTACATACCTTACGAAAACCATTTTATCTTTCAACAAAGAAACAATCAAACAATTCTCAGTCCTGATTCGTAGGATTTCATAATTTAATTATTTTCCTTTTGCGTTTTATACCAAGCCAAAGTTAGTGCTGACTTGACTCAATCGAACGGTATGCTTCAACAGTGCTCGTTCTCTAGGAATGCCAGCAATTTGTCCATCGTCTCAACGATAATGGGTTTTAACGTAGTTCCATGGTGTGCGTGCCCCACCCCCTCGCGGCACATTAAGCTACGCGGGATGAAGCTTATCGAGCACACTCAAAAGCAACCAAATACGGTCTCATTCTCTTTCACATCACATGCTGCGATTGGCCGACAACCGCCTTCTCTCAAGTCTCAGTTATAAGAGGGAGACATTTTCGAGTTGTAAACCCGACTGTATCGCAGTGGCGCTCTACTTCCGCGTTTACATGGTGTATCATTTGCTAATTGCTTTGACGCAACCTGTGAGACCGTGATTACTGACATACGCTACACCAACTCGCTTTGAGTGCAACGTGAGCACAGGTGTATCACCTGCTCTCCATTGGCTTGTTCGATAGGTTGTTAGGTTAGGAATTACGAAAAGGATTACTCACTTAATTAACCAGATAGACTGCTTACTCGAATCACAAAGAGCAATGAAATCAGTTTCCTCTGCATGCGTCTCCAGGATGGTATGAACAGAGGTGATTGAGGTAGAGAATATAATGTTACCTGCAAAAGTCCTAGAGTATGGAATGAGCAGTCAGAGGGCATCATTTTTCCGCGTAACCATTTCAATTCTGACCAAAGACGAGGGTGACACTTGGTGATTTGTATGATCGCTGCATCCAATACTATCTGGAGCATTGGATACATACCGTCAGACCTGAAAGCACCAAGTATCACACCCCTAGTGCAATCGCTCCGAAATTGCTCGTGAAAATCACACTGTAATAACTCCTGTCCACATGAGAATCGAGTTAGTGAAAAGGAGACCAGCTTCAGAGGAGGTGATTACCACATATTCGTGTTTAAATGGCAACATGTCTGCAAGCAGCCTACCATAATGATCGAGTTCACCTCCAGCTCAAGCGCCCTCTTATTAGGTTAACACGACGCACAACATGTTTCATGCTTTCATAGTGTACACTGTCATTGCAGGATTGGGCAGATACATTTCCTTTGAATTATTGTCCGTATTTGTTCCTCCCTGGTTGGCCCATACTTTCGTCGTTAGATTATCAACACCGGTCGTGATAGCCGAACCATCGGTGCCGGAGTTATGTTGGCTCATGGACGGAACTGAGTGCACTGTAGCCCGGAAATAAACAGTCTGCCCCTATTCATAACGCACTTTAAATCCACATCGTATTTTGCTGACAACAGTTCTTCTATCAGCATCTTGTCTATGACATGTGGCCCATTCCCACTCAGATGTGGTATTTTGATTGAATCAATAGATGCTTCCCTCAGCATCTTTAACGTTTCGGACTTTAATTAGACTACGATCTCTTCACTTGAATAGCTGCTATCCCTTTCAGTTTGTTATTCATCCGAATCATCGTAACTATGTCCTCGGATTCGTCGAGAAAGCACCTTGCATCCTTTTCCCTGAACATGTGTTATCAGTAATGTTTCATATTTCGCTCGGCTACAAAATTGGCTATCCAAGGCGGTTTCTCGTTACGTTATGACGGGCATAAAATATAATCTTCACTAAGGCACTAGCGAATAAATACCGGTAAGCGACCCCTAAGTGGGGGCGATCATTTATACACAAAAGTAGTCTTATAATTCTCATGCATTAAAGCACGATATACATAAAATTTCATATCATACATTTTCATACATGTCAGCGACCCGATCGCTCAAATTCATTCATTGTAGACGAATGTTGGTACCATTATTCACAAATGCACTTTGTAACGAAACTCTGGGGTAGTCAATGGTAGGATATGCGAGAGTAGTTGACAAACACACAGGTTTCACTATTTGGATAATGATAAAGTAAGGATAAGTTGAGTGTAGGCTTCTAGCTGTTCATATGTTAGGTCAGCTTCTATTAATGTTTCTGGTAATTGCTGTGAACTAAGTGTCTTTATCATACTCGGAAAAGTCTCTGGAGTTGTTTGGAATATAACGAGTTTGGCTGTTGCGTGGACCTGTAGTAGTTGTTGTTTTTACAGATTGGCAGATCTCACTGAGAAGAAGGTTGGTCGGATTTTATGACTTGCAATCTCTGAGATTAACAAGTAGTCACCGTCACGGTTGGTGGCGAGCAGTTTTCCCGCAATTCAAAGACGATACTCTGTGAGGATCCGCTCATTTATAATGTTGAAGAGAAAAAGGAGATTGTTCTTTAGTCATCTCAGCCAAATGGGATCAAGTCGGATGTGACGACAACGATCATATTAACTGAGGGATAAGAAGCGCCCCATGACCAGTTTGATAAATGATAACTGCACATTTTCCAGAGCTATTCTCTCTTGATTGGCTGCTAATGATAGCACAATACTCCAGAGTAGGTTCTAAGGTTATTTTGAATCAGGTAAGAAGAAAGTTCTGGTAAGGTAGCCGGACAGCTGGCTGGCTTTTGAAACTTGGCACAGTGTAAGTTCAGAGAAACTGAAGGTGCTGGGTTACCTAATTCCCAGGACCCGGACTGAATCAGAGGTTGGGATCTTCAGAGCTACCTCTACACTGCACTTCACGACCGATAGATTTCGTTCTGATTCGGACGTGTCATGTAGTGGTAATCTTAGATGAGAGTGCAACCCGACACAGTCATTGACTACTTACGCTTTGGTCACTCAGCCAAAGCTCCGCGAGCAGTGCGTGATACAGCGGTTAAGAGTTCATTGTTGATTTTTGGGGTACCCGCCGCGTGTCTTGATTGCGACACGCAATCTCGATTAAGGCCACTGTTTGTTTCGAAGCAAACCCTTGCCATTTCGCTCACTGGGAACGCGTCCGAAGTGGAGAACTTCATAACTGCTCTCTTTCAACACTACATCACTATCGGCCGGTTTCCACTTGGTTTGGAATCAGTGGAACAGCGGTATATGATGGGCAAAAAAGAGGATGCTTTGCAAGTCCCGTAGGATGGCCATAAAGAGAATCACATGGTGAATAGAAAACAAAGGATAAAATGAAAATCGTTTTGGTGGATTCACCACATTCTTAACACAGAGGCAAGCAGAAAGGGCCAACCACAGTTGTTTAGATTAATACTGGTTGTGCAACGTCCGTAGCATTATATCATCTGTCGAGACAAACAGGCTATATCTCGTAGTGTCGAAGGGTTAGGGCAACATCAAGGCGTTTTGTAAACGCAAGTAAAGTGGGGGCGGAAACAATGTAATATGTGAAGGCGTTCCAAGGCTGACACACACGAAGAGAGTAAAGGTTCCGTCGGGATTCTAACCGACTGTATTACTTGGCTAACTTGAACTGGTGGCCCCTCAAATTCGTGTTGTGGCTTAGATGTAGTAGGTGACGGCAGACGTGGTTGGGGTTCCTTAGAATCTGGTAGGCCATAAGAAGATCGCCACGTAGGCGCCGGTACCGGCCACTGTATAGTTTTACGGTACTGTGGAAGGAAGTTTGAACAACCCTTTGACGTGTTTCGTGGCTTGTCGCTGTGAAGTCTCGAGCGCTGCAAGATCTTGTTTGTGCCATGGCTGCCACACCTGGATTACGTATTCCACATGAGGCCGCGCGTAGGTGTTAAGCAACTGCGAACAGATTGAGGGGTCAAATGCCCTCCGCAGCATGCCCACGTGTTGGCTCCCGGTCTTTGACGCCTTCTCAGATTGTTCTGAGCAGCCGAGATCAGCCTGAACTAGTACCCCAAGGTCGCGCTCCTGGGTGACTGCTTGCAGGACATGATCTCCAAGCTTGGATGTAATGTTCGGCTGTTGGCGACTGTGAACCACCTTACACTTCCCCGAATTGAACTGGTGCAGATTGTGGAGTGACCACCCATACGCTCTGTCCAGATCTCGCTGAAGTGCATCGCGATTTGCTGGGTCGGCGATCGTCCGCCACATGTTAACATCGTCAGTGAACAGTAAGAAATCTGAAGTAATCAAACGCGTAAGCGTTTTCATGAACAAGAAAAATACACGCGGCCCCAGAACTGATCCTTGTGGAACTCCACATTCGACATAAATCAAATCGGAGAGCGCACTTCGAACTCTGATCTGTAATTGCCGATCCTGCAGGGAATTCCTGATCCACCCAAGGACTGGATCGCCAACTTCATAGGTTTCGAGCCTGTGAAGCAGAATGCGGTGATCCAGTCTGTCGAAGGCTTTGGAAAAGTCGAGGTAAATGACATCTGTCCCTCTGCCTGTATCGGCCACTTCCGTCCAACTACTGCGTGCAATCAGTAGGTTGGTAGTGCATGAACGGTGCTGGCGGAAACAACGTTGCTCGGGTGCTATAATGTTTTGGCGTTCTATATGGTCTACTAGATCCTCATTATATGTATACCGAATGAATTCGATGAGGATACTCATACCGCTTTTGTACGACCAGCTTAGTGCAGGGAACTGACACTCTAACAAACCGAAAATAATATTACCAGAACATGAAGAAGGTGAGTTTATGACAAACTCATGTTAATTTCAGGTGTTGCGAATCCAAGGCAAGTTTGACCGATGCGAATTCCGTGGACTGCTCAAAAGGGCGGTTGCTCAGGTACAGGAGAATGCACTATTGCACGCGAAAAAGAAGCGCGGTGTGTACGCTCCCATTCGATTTACTAATCCAGGCCAATAAGGCGGTGTATGTGTTACGTTTGCCTGCATGATAAGTAATCTTGCATTTCAGAAGTAGATGTTGTTTAAGGTCCCCGATGTGGCTGCACCAAATGTGAATGTTGACAAGTTGTCTACCTGTCTATGACTCACTACCTCTTCCATACTGGCTCCAGGTGACAGTTGGTCGTTGCTGGAGGGCACGGGGTGCACTGTGGTGACGGTGCTGGGCTCAAAGAGTGGTTCCAGCCTGTGTGGAACGGGATACGGTCCAGCCACCGCCATATGTACGTTTGGTGCTCATGATTTCCCAATTAGGCCGGAATGCTTCTGTTCTGCTTGTTGAACGAGTGTGGGCCGGTTCCGTTGATGAAACCCGGCTCCC